GCCTGTGAGGGATTGTCTTGATTGTAAATTTATATAGGAAAACCCAGCCAACCATGGGAAGCACCATTCCCTAAGCAAGGAGTCCTGAACTATATGGGACAGGAGTAAGCTAGATGAGAGGAAGCAAACAGGCAGCATAGCTGCATTTGTTTCACTCTGCTGACTGGATGTGATATGACCAGCTGTATCAAGCTCCTGCCTCTGAGACTTCCCTGTACTGGTGAACAGGAACTGTAGGCTAAATAAACCCTTTCTTCCTCTATGTTGTTTTTTTGGTTTGAATTCTGATTTATTTATTTTTATTTTCTGTGTATGAGTATTTTGCTTGCATGTAAGTAAACCCATGTTGTATAGGACCCACAGAGGCCAGAAGAGAGCATCAGATCCCCTGGAACTGGAGCTACCAACAGTTATTAGCCACTATGAGAGTACTGGGAACTGAACCTGGGTCCTCTGCAAGAGCATTCAGTGCTCTTAACTGCTGAGCCATCTCTCCAGCCTCTCACCCCAACTCTGTTGCTTTTGGCCAGGGTGTTTTATCACAAATACAAATGAAACTAGACAACTCTTTCACTGTTTTGAAACTGGTATGTTGCTCATATAAAAGTCCATTTTTGTTCAGTATAGAGAATTGGTATAATCTGACAACTCTGTGGGAGCTATAGGCTAGCACTGGGAAACACTAGAAGTAGTCCTCTATGGGTGCTCACTGAGGTCTCCCAGGTGGTGGGCACAGGCAGGTATTCAAACAATTCATGAGGCAAGGGTTTGGTAAAAATGACCAACACAGTTGCCAATAGGCTGAAGCCTTTTTTTATTATTTTATTTTAAAAGCTGGAACTATTGGATTGATGCTAACTATCAGCTCTGTATGTATGGCACAGATTATTTCATAAATTGGTATACTTTGAGAAGCAGGAGAATTTGGCCTAAATCCCATCTTGACCGCAGTCAGTACTCTGTGTTCTACCAGAGGTGCCTCCATGGCAGCAGCATTCAGAGCAATAATGATCAGAGGCCAGGTTACATTTCCTGACAGTGAACTTTGACCAGAAAGAGGAGAGAAAAAGAGTAAAATGAGACTCAAGACAAAGCATACCTAGCTCACACTGTATTTGTGGTCACCTAAGGAGAAGTTAAATGATTAAATCTGATAAAGCAGGAGTGTCTAAAATTCTCCTCCTCCTAGTTTCTATGTAATTACATAAATTGCAAGGTGAATGAGAGTCCGTGTGTGGGGGTGGGGGGGTGGGAGCTCCGTTAAAATGGAATCAATGAGCAAAGCAGTACCAGTATATTTTACACTAAGAACTTAAAACTGATACATCACATACGCTTTGAAAGATGTGTTCAAGTAGAAGATGTTATATGTCAAAAACTGGGCCATTTAAAGAAAATTTAAAAGGTTTTGCCTTTCATAAAAGCCTGTAGATCTAATGCTTGACTGAAAGACAGAGAATCCAGAGCAAAAAGTAATGTTGTGAATAGGAATGAAAAGTGAAAATGGCTTTTATTTCTGCTTCTAGAGAGCTTAAAATCTAATAATGAGGGCAAAGTGCTTGCTGTTTCCACTAATACTGGCTCAAGTTTTACAGCAGACCTATTCTTTGAGTCACAGAAAGGCATGCTTACAGAAGTTGGGCATGCTGTTCTATACTGTCTAGCACTGAAATCAAAACATGCTGCCTAAGTCATACATCGTGAAATGATGATTTATGTAAGTAGCAATGCTCTAGTATGAAGCTTTCTTTAAAATAGAAGATACTAAGATTTTATATAGATTATAAATGGACAACTTAGGAAGAAATAGCTTGCATTTAACATACAATACAGTTGGTATTTGGAACTCTAACTTGACACAAAAATTCAGTTTTTATCAATTTTTATCTTTTAGCCAGAAGCATTCTGGAAATATAGGGGTTAGTAATCTATTGCTTTTTATTTAGAACACTTAAAGCCTCAAACTTTTAGTGAAATATTTATTTCTGTTAATTGAGTTTATAGTAATCCCCAAGTATTATAGAAATATTGTTTCATGCTGGACAAAGTGGCTCATGACTTTAATCCCACACCTGGGAGGCAGAGGCAATCAGAACTCTGTGAGTTCCAGGCTAGCCTGGTCTACATAGTGAGTTCCAGGTCAGCTGGGGCTACAGGGAGACCCTGTCTCAAAAAGCTTAAAAAAAAAGAAATATTGTTTCATTTTGAAGATGGCAAATATTGCATTATTTTAAAATAGGTAAGTTATTGAAGGTTATGGCCTCTAATTACAGTCTTTTTAGTTATAAGTAACGTAAGCTACTTCCTTTGATGGAAATTCCTCTTAAGATTACTGTTCTGGTTAGATCTGTCCACTCGACACAAACCTAGACATATCTGTGAAATGGCGTCTTAACTGAGGAACTACCTCCATCAAGTTGGCCTTTGGGGCATTTTCTTAATTCTAATTGATGTAGGATGGCCTAGTCCAGGGTGGGAAGCACTATCCTTAGACAGGTGGGCCTGGGCTATATAAGAAAAGTAGCTGAGCAAGCCAGGGGAAGCAAGTCAGTAAGCAGTAGTCCTCTGGGACCTCTGCTTCAGTTCCTGCCTTGACTTCCCTCAGTGATGAATGGTGACTAACCTGGAGATGGAATAAACCCTTTCCTCCATAAGTTGCTTTTGGTCATGATGTTTATCACAGCAACAGAAAAGCAAACTAGGAAAGTCGTTTTCAGCATATAGACTTGAATATCGACTCTGGAGAATTACAAAGGTTCTAAGAAAGCTAACAGCAAGTTCAAGCCGCATGTTAGCTATTTACAGTCTCTCCCCCAAATTCTAATTAGAACACTCTGCAATGAGGTATTCAGTGATTTTTTAAGATTAAAGGAATGAGATGGACCGCTCTCCAACCTTTTGTATTCATACAACAATGCTATGTATGACAATTTTGCTTATAATATGCTGAATTAAATACTACTTATACAGAACATTAAGAATTCAAACTATAAATGGGCTTAATAGCATAGAAATAAAAATATGGCCAACATTATTTAGGCTACTTTCTGTGATATTGCACAGTGAAAGAACTTTAAATTTATAAGAGTATTACAAATGCACTTATCTGAAAACATTATATACCAGGAAATCACATGCCAATGTTGGATTGAAGGTTACTATTAGGAATGGAAACTGTGTTCTACTGATTTACCACACCCCATGTCCCAGGGAGGTTCTTTTACTACACCACTGAGATGTTTCAACTTAACTACTAATTTATAATTCTTCAACCACGTCCTTTGCAGAGGTCTACTTCTCAATGGTTTTGCTTTCTGTCTGGCTTGTCGGATATTTCGCCCAGGAAGCACGGAAAGAAGCTGGGGAAGCAGATAATCAAGACTATCATACTGGCATTGAAAAGATCATATGTAATTCTAAGTTCATAAAGTCTAGCTAACTATGGCTTATTCCTACATTACAGTATAAAGGCACAGAATGAAGAATAGGAATTAAAAATAGCCATTTTCCTCAATTTTTTTTTTCTTATTTCATGATTCACAGAAATGCTCTGGGATCAAGGCCCTCAAAGTGTACATGATTTACCAGGTATAATTAATGCATAATACAATAAATCATTAAAAAAATAAAACCTTTCTGAACTATAACCTTACTAAAATTCAGTCATCATAAATTTACTCAGTTTTCAGGCTGATAATTCGAATCTAGTTCAAATGTGCAAATGCTGAATTTCCCTTCTTGAAGTTACAAAAATAGTTACTACATACTACACACATATGTCATAGTTTATAAATTTCAAAACAATCAAGAAATCTGTAGAGCCAGGAATCTTATAGACCTCAATAATTAATGTCACCTGAGCTCATAGTTCAGTGGACAGGGCACTGACATCTGAACTGCTTTGCTTATTCATTATTAAGCAGTAATCTGAAAATATGTGATACTAGTGTTATTTGTATTTATCTGACAACGAACCCTTCATGAGTTCAGAAAGAATCTAAGAATCATTGGACCTTCCTACTACTTCCCATGCCTACCACAAACTAAGAACTACTTCATCTAGAACTTTCCATATCTAGGATCTTTGGTTTTAAGTTACTGATCCTGAAGTTAAAAATATGTATTTATCAGAGACTTTCCTTTTGAATGCTGCTATTTTACACAGTACATGAAAATCTAAATAAGCAATACCAGGTAACTATTGCCTCTCAGCTGTGCATGGCAGGTGCTGGGATGGAGGCTGGTTTAGAAAGCTTTGAGATCATTCCACATCCAGATTCCCTACTCTGGGCATATCAGAATCCAGAATCTTGTAGGACATGAATAGTAGCTGAGCCATTTCAGGCCAACAAGCTCCTTGCTAGCATTAGCTGTGGAAGATGTTTCTAGCTTGTTAATAATACATACATAAAAATGGTTTTAAAATCTTGAAATTATCTTAGAACATGAAGAATCAAATATACACTGTATAAAATATTTAGAGAAATTCCTTTGAACTACATTAAAAAAAAAAGGACCATCAGGATTTCTCCAGTACTGATTTGTATAAAATCTATAGTGAATGAGGTCTATAACTTGTCTCAAATTTTTAGAATTTTGCATTTTGTAAATTACCACATTTCTTTTTACATCATTAAAATCTCTTAAGAAATCTCTACCTATTTACTTATATCAGATTCTGACTGACAAACTTATTTCCGTTGTATTTGATTAATTTAGGAAGCATACTTGAAAAAAAGATATCTTATTATTTTAGAAGCTTGGGTGTATAAATTTGTATGAAGAACATTGCCAAAGCTTTGCGGCCAAAGCCAAAATGGAGAGGGGAAAAAAGAGAGAGAAAAGAAAATACAGGGAAGTGCATCGTGGCAGAAGAGCAGCAGCACACAGCATGCAGCAGGGGAGGACACATGGCAACATGCTCACAGGCTCTGCAGCTACAGGCAAAGGACAAGAGACAGGCAGAGGCATCAGACGGCACACAGTGCATGGTTTCTTACACGTCTGCCTTTGCTAGCTGGAGTACAGGACGGGGAGTGCTTCAACAGAGAGAGAACACCACACGTTACAGATATTCACAGGGAAGACTCCCAGGCCCATTGTATCAATATTTAGTATATAAACATATGCACAACATCACTGTTTTTGATATGTTTCAAGTACATATACATCCAGGAACCTTAGGATAAGAGCTGTAAAGGAACAGTTGCTCAGACCAGACCTAAGGCTGATGATAAAGTTTTCAACAGTACACACACAGTGATCCACAAGATAACATTCCATCAAGTAATGGACAACTTCAACAACAATGACAACAAAATGTCTATTTAATTCTGTGTCAGTGTTTGCAGTAATTTAATAAATACTTAAGTCATAGCACCCCCCACCAGTAAACTATTTAACTAAGTAGCTTTGCTTTTATGCATTTACCTACCAAATTATTACAAAGCTGGCTTTTTAAATTATAACAGCTAAATCAGAAATCATCAGTATTCATAATGGAGTGAAACAAAAATACATTTTTAAACTGTCCACCCTGACTAGACTTTTGGCTTAGTCAAAAGAGTGTGCTTGACCTTTCTGACATTAAATATTTAAAAAATAACAATTACCTCAAAATATTTTTCAAGCTTTGGAAACTGTGATGTTTAAGCAGTAGAACTTCAGAAATGCAAACCATATGTATTTAGGCAATTTCCCATATTCAATGCAACCTAATATATTTTGAACATCTACCACACATCTGTTCTATATAGACTTCATTAACTACTGAAAAATAAGGCACAGTAGTTCACAGACTGATAGAGAAGAGATCATGACAACAACAATGTGACGAAGGTGGTCACACAAGGTTTGCATGGGAACCTAGGGGAGTTCAAGATTTCTATGTGGTCTTAGAGGGAATTTACAGTCTACTAGAGTTACAGAAAACTGCAGACAAAAAGTAAAAAGCTCAAAGATAAGAAGCATCATTTGATATTACCAGTTCTATTGTTGTAACCACTCTGGGTAAACAAACTTCACTGCAGTAGGAAACTGGAAAAGCCACTACCCTAAAGTGTTAGCAGCAAACAAGGACCAAAGACCTGAACATTTCTAAACAAGTTCTTATTTCTTGGTCTGGCCAGTTACAGAGGCAGAAGTCTCAGATAGGAGGGACTTCTTCCCCTCTTGCCTGTAAAACCAAAGAACCAAACAATAAACAAATCAACTCTTACTTCTTCCTCTAGGTACCCTTTAATCTCTTCCTTCTTATCATAATAGTTAACATTTATATACACAGGTACTTTTCAAATGCTTTCTGTATGTGGACTCAACTGAGTCTCATACAAACCCAAATATGGTAGATATTAATAATAAATATTATTATTATTTTGTGTTGTGTGCAGGTGGGGGGTGTTTTCATGCGTGCACGTGCGCACGTGCGCACGTGTGTGTGTGTGTGTGTGTGTGTGTTTGAGTTTAAGCCAGAGGGCAACCTCAAGTGTTGTTCTTCAGGAGCCATCCATCTTGTTTTCTGAGACAGGGTCTTTCACTGGGACCTGGGGTTTGCCAATTAGGCTTGGCTGGTTGGCCACCAAACCCCAGAGATGTGCCTCCCCAGTGCCGGAATTATAAGCATTTGTTACCAGACTTGGCTTTTTACATGGGTGCTAAGGGTCAAACTCAAGTCCTCATGCTTGTATGGGAAGCACTTTATTGCCTGAGTTATCTTCCTAGCCCCTATGGTAAATATACAATTCCTATACTAAAGATGAAGAAAACATTTAGTTACATAAGGTCTGGCAACTGGTATGTGGTAGAGCTAGAATCCACAAATTCTCAAACTTTTCTCCAAATGGGAGACACTCAACTGCCTACACATCCTAACCTCCCAGTTCAGTTCTCAACACATGTGGCTCCTGTTTGGATCTCTCTAATGTCAGGGTACTGATACACTATTTGTCCAGTCTGACAGCCACCTCTGCTTTACAAGAGGCTGTCAAACATTCTCCTCCTTAAAGCCCTCCACTCCCTAGTTTTTGTGACAGGATACTCGCTCTAATCACTGTTCCTTTTTGGCAGCCCTGTCTGTCTTCAAAGCTGGAGATCTGTATCTGTTGTTGGCTCACTGCTTTTAGGCTTCAGTCTTCCTCCCCTCTCTCAATCTAGGCATTCTCAAATCTTTATCCCTTTTCCTTAAGCTTCTGACTATATGAAGATGTTCAAACAATATCTTTCAGATATCTCCATCTTGTCTAAAATGAAGTTATCTCCTATCCTATCTTTGTTATTTTGTCTTTTTATTTTTATTTTTTTAGATTGAACAAGGCTGGTTCAATCTAAGTTCTGCAACACATCAGCAAATCCATTCCAATTCTAGCCACTACCTACATCACCCCACTCATCCTTGCTGTCAGCAAATCACATGACCTCTGCCTTCCCCACACTCAGGCCTCCTACATTTGCCCACCTCAGTCCTCATCTGTGATGACTCAGCTCAGGCATCATTTCTATTAGAAAGTGTTCATGGATCTTCTGTCCAGTTAGAGTTTTCCTATCTTTCAATGTCTTTCACATATTTTCTTCATAGTGTTATAATTATGTTGATACATTTGGTTTTTTCTACTAGACTGTCAGATTTTTTTTTTTTTTTTTGGTCTTTTTGAAACAGGGTCTCCCTGTAGCCCCAGCTGTCCTGGAACTCACTATGTAGACCAGGCTGGCCTTGAACTCACAGAGATCCGCCTGCCTCTGCCTCCTGAGTGTTGGCACTAAAGGCGTGCACCACCATACCTGGCTTATTTATTATTTTTATGTGTATGTGTGTATTGCCTGCATGTAGGTAAGTCCACCCATGTTGTGCAATGCCCGCACAGCACAGAAGAGGCTGTTGGATACCCTGGAACCTGAGTTATGGACAGTTAGCTGCCATGTGGGTGCTGGGATTCGAACCCAGGTCTTCTGCAAGAACAGCTAGTGTTCTTAACCGCTGAGCCATCTCTCCAGCCCCGACTGTCAGATTCTTAAGGGTAGGAAATAACATGCTTGATATAAAGCCTATAAATTTAGGAATTCTCAACAAATACTGACTACTTCTAAACTCACATAGTATTTATGCATTTTTTGCATAATTTATGGTTTTTCCTCATTACATAATCCAAATCGTGCAATTGTTTTCTAATAATAAAATTATCATCTTGAAATTTAGTTTTACATATGACTGACTCTGCAGCTGCTTCTGCCCATGGTGCAGTACTACATGTGTAAAAAGTGCTAAGATGCTTAACAAAGAGAAACCCTCACTTTTTAGACATCCCTATAGTCTGGAGTGTGTTAAAACAAACAAGAGCACAAATATCTTACAGAAAATATTTTATCTCTATGCTAAAAATAAGATAAAATGCCTCTCAAAATTATCTTTGATAAGAATAGCCTTTTCTAAGCTAATAATGATACTAAATATCTTAGCAATAATTTCTTACCAGATGTTTTCCATAAAGAAAAGGGCTAATTATACTTTCTTCTAAAGTACATTTAGGGGAAAATATATTTCTTCCCTATACATATCTATAACCATCATTTTCTATAAACACCAAAATGTTCTCATGGCAAATACTACAAGCTGGTAAGTTGCCAAAATGTATAATCAAACACCACCTTGAAACAAGTATCTTCTATATTGAAATCTACAAATTGCCACCACAACTTTCGGCTAAGGACAGAGGTAAGCATACAAGCAGAAACCACAAATGACTGTCTACAACCATCGTATGTCTTAGGGGCACATAATTTGGCTAAGAGTTTTAATGACCTCCGGGGGTCTTATTCCACAAAACATTGGAGAAGATATAAACTGTGAAGACAAGGTTTTTCTCTATAGATTGCCTATATTATGACATCACATACAATATATAATAAAAACATGGAATATATACGAGTTAGTAAACAAATTGAGCATCCCTCACCTGAAAATCTGAAATGTAAAACTTTGCATTTTCAGAACAGGGATGCATAACTGGAAAAGACTGAAAATATTCGGGTCTGGAGAGATAGTTCAGTTAATAAATGAATGCAAGCATGAAGATCTGAATTTGATCTTCGGTCCCTACGTAAAAAAAGTGGTGGTGTTGGCTGCAAGCACTTGTAATCCCAGTGCTTGGGAGGTAGACATAGGGGGATCCCTGGGATTCACTGGTTAGTCAGACTAGCCTAATCAATGAACCCTAGGTCCCAGTGAGAGAACCTGTCTCATAAAAATGGGGGGGGCAATGAGGAAGAGGGGGTGGAAGGATTCTAAGAGCCAGCGGTAGTAGATGACCACAAGGAAACAAAGTTTTCCAGACAGCTGGGATGTTACCCAAATGAACTCACAGCATTAGTGACAGCATGCACAAGACCCATCCCAGCATGGAAGTAGGGAAGTGGGTAAGAAGCTCCAACTGCAGCTGAGGAACTACTGGCAACTGGTAACTACTGGAAGAGGGAAAGTTGGTTTTCTGTAAGTGTGTGACACTACATAGGTTAACCAGGCTCCAGTGGATGGACACAAACTCAAGGACATTTGGGGACCCAAACTTGGCTCGGTTGACATTAAAACACACATACACACACACACACACACAAACACATGGTAGAGTACATGAAAACTGGTAGGGGTGTATAAGAGAGATAGAGATAGGGGAGAGGGACTATATATGATCAAAATATATTACATGAAAAATTAAAATTAATTTTAATTGTAAAATTAAAATTAATTTTAATTGTAAAATTAAAATTGTTTCTAAATGGGGGAGCTGATGCCCAAGATATGACCGAACTTTCATACTCATGGCGGGGGGCTCGAGGAGCCCTAAATTCTGAAATTCTGAACCACTACTTCTGGTCCCCAAATACTTTGGATAAGAGAAACTCAGTCTACATTGCCTAAATTGGGGAAGTTGTACGTATTTTCTGAAGTATGTAGAACTTCAATTTGGGTCACAATGAACACATGGGGAGAAGTCTTAAAAAAAAAAAAACAAGTGAAGGAGGAAATTTCAAGAATTAAAGAAATCTTTACAACAAATGCTTTTTAAATTTGCGTGTAGTGTATGTGTGTGTGCCAGTGTGCTGGCTAATGTATGTGTATGTGAGGCCAGAGGATGTCAGGTATCTTCCTCTCTCACTTTTCACCTTTTTTTAAGCTAAAAATTTTAATCATATTTATTTTTTATGTGTATGTATGTGCATGTGTGTGTGTATGTATGTATGTGTGAGGGCATGCACATACCAGAGCATGCATGTGGAGCTCAGAAAAACTTGGGGAGTCAGTTCTCTCCTCTAACACATCAGTCTCGGGGATCGAATTCAGGTAATCAGGATTGGTGGAGAGACACTGAGACATCTCACAGGCTCTACTCCACCTTATTTTTTGAGATAGGGTCTCTCATTGAACCTGGAGTTTGCTGTTCCAGCTAGAATCGCTGGCCAGTGAGCCCCCAGAATTCACCGACGTGCCCCTTCCCCTGACTGGGGTTACAGGCACGTACTGCTATGCCTGGCTTTTATGTGGGTTCTGGGGAGGCCAACTTAGGTCCTCAAGCTTGCATGTCAAGCACTTCACCCACTTAGTCATCTCCCCAGCCTCAATAAATGTTTTTAAATTGTCTGTTACTGAAGCTTTCAGATGGTCAATCTTCTCCAATACAGCTATAATAACTGCTGTGAAACCTCAGATGCCTGAGACTGGTTCTGAGAGACTGTAAGAGTGGAGAGTGATGGTAAAACCAAGAGATTATATAGAGATTAGTGAAGGGAGGCGCCATGACTCAGATTCAATATTCTAGAACATCTCAGTAAGATTTTTACGAGGCAAGTCATGCCTAAAGCTCTGCCTGTTAGAATTTTATTTCTATCTATCCTCCACCTGTTGGCTATATAGAGCATGAGACTGGGCCTAATGTGAACTAACCAGGACTGGGCATGTGGTGTGGAACTGAGGGAAAAGATAAAGGAAGAAGAGATACTGATTTTCATGGGAGAAGAGACCACAGTATTTGTTCTACTGCTTTGTAAATATGGGAATGCATTTCCCATGGCATCATCTGTCACAGTGTTCTCTTTTTTAAAAATTAACTTGGCCTTCTTTATCAATCCGAAGGAATGCCATACAAATCCTTGATCTATGTTTTCATTTTGCTCTAAGACCTAAAAGAAGCCACTCATCAACAGGAAGATGTGATAAATAATGGCTAATCCATGATACTGAATACTTTTAGGGTTCTTTTAAAAGTCCACATACTGGGGCTGGAGAGATGACTCAGCAGTTAAGAGCACTGACTCCTCTTGCAGAGGACCCGGGTTTGATTCCTAGCACCCACATGGCGGCTACGAACTGACTTTAACTCCAGTTCCAGGGGAATCCTAAGCCCTCTTCTGACCTCCGTGGCATTGCACAACATGGGTGCACTCACATGCAGGCAATACACCCATACACATAAAATAATAAATAAAATGTTTTAAAAAAGTCCACATTCTGCATGTAGACTACCCCAAATACCTCCATCCTCTTAAAGTACAGGAATGGAGTGTTAAGCATGCATTCTGCTCTGCCCAACTCCCCTCTACTTCTCAGAGAAGCAAAAGTGACTAGAATCACATAAACTCCTTCCTTTCTGCCAAAGCTATTCTTACACACAGGAGTGACCACAAAGCATGACTTAAAAGGAGGCATCCTGTTCTGAATATCTTCCTGTACAGACAAAAATTCTAGCATTCATATGAATTGTGAATGAACAGGCAAAACACCATAAAGAAAAATTAACAGTGGGAAAGTGATTCTGTGTTCTGTTTTAAATAAAGAAATGACAGTTTTAGTAGGCCTGCATAAGAGTAAAAGATGGAGAGGAGCAGAGGTAATTTTTGAGGAGGGGATGTACTAGCAGTAAGGCTCTGGAAACACAGAGGCAACAGGAGGACATTAGGCTTGTGGGGGTGGAGGAGAGATTGACAGTGTGTAGACACACACCATAGTAAACTTGATTTCTACAATTTTGCTTAACACAAGCCACCTTCTGTCTTGCATGGGCAATGTCCAATGGCAATTAGGTTTTATTATTTCAATATTCTTTTCTATAGCAATAATAGAAAACAGAAAAAAATGACCAGAAGGATGGCAAATTAGGGGTTACGTAAGCACTGGAACCTATTTAATATAGGGGAAAAGTCACATCAGCATAAGGACTATGTACAATACAATCAGATTTGGGATAAGGAACAATCAAGATTTACTTGTTCCTTAAAAACCTACATGTGTAGCAATAGGAGCTATCAAACTTGGGTTTTTACAGTACATTGGATGTGGAACCTAAATACATCAAAGATTGAATTCTACCAATGAAAAAGAACATTCGCAGGCAGATCTCTGTGAGTTCAAGGCCAGCCTGGTCTACATAGTGAGTTCCAGGATAGCTGGGGCTACAGGCAGACCCTGTCTCAAAAACACCAAATAAATAAAGTTTTATTGGACCGCAGCTGCATCCATATATATAAATTAAGAACAGAAAATGTTTTTTAAAATGGATCTTACCACTGGCCTGCCCACTGATAGAGAAAAATCATTTTTCAAAGGTAACAGGATTTGATAATTCCAAAGAAGTACTGTGGTTCATATTATTGGTGAATGGAAGGCTGAGTGGTGAAAATCTAAGAAAGCATTTAAGAGAACTAACATTGATGGACAAGAAATGAGAGCAGAGGGAGGGAACTAACCTACTCAGTAAATACTACCAGCATCTTGAAGGCATCACATACACTATTTCTTTAAATCTTCAAACCACTTTATGAGATCAGTGTACTGCTATTATTACCATCAGATGAACAAACCTAGGCACTGAAAGGTCAGGTAATCTCTTCCAAACTACACTCCTAGAAAGTGGACTAGCCAGTTTCTGAGCTTTACCAATGCAAATGGTAGGAGAGACTGGCCAAATCACACCTTGTAAGAGTTGGAATATGAATCAAGATTCAGCAGCTTTTGTATACTCGACTCCTCCTTACTGCATACTAGGAGTTCCTCTGCACTACTATAAAACCCAGCTACATAACTGAGATGAGCTTGTGCTGCATAACAATGAATGAAAGACCAGAAAGGAGGAAGCAACAATGAAAGAGCTCTGTGACTTGGGTGCACTTTCATGACATCTGGAGGCAGTGCTAAGAGTGCTTCTGAGAGTAGAAACCAATGCACTCTGGAACCATCTATGGAGAAGTTTGCTGAAATACACATTGTTCTTAGGTTTTACAATCTGAGTTTTTAATGGGAGCAAAGAAGACAGAGGAAAGAATCTGTTAGAAAGGAAATACTTTCAGTAGAAAGAACTCAACAGTTTATTCAGACTTCCACTTCTTCTTTCTAATGTGAATGATGGGAAAAAAATCACACCGTGTTAACACACTGAATGGCAAATTACAGCATGAAATATCATGATTATTAGAACAGCTCTCTTTGATTATACTATAATTTTTCAGAATAATTCACTGCCTTAGGAACAACAAAAATTTCCATTTTGGAGGGAAATGTATGTTTTGGTATATTTCAAACATACCAAAAAGGTCACTTTTTGTTCAATAATTTGAAAAAAAATAGAAGTTCCTTTAATGGAAAATTATGCTAAAATCATCTTCTGAATACATTATTCTATGCAACAAAATAATATAACATTTAAAGAATCTTTCATCAATTAAAAATACTTTAATGTACATTATTAACTTTTAAACTCCTTAGAAAGTGTGTGTGTTCAACAGGGCATTACAATTCTGTCAAGGATTACTGAGTCATTTAATGTGAAATAGAGAACACTTACATAACAGGCAGTACTGGAAAGAGAATTAATGTATTACAGTCACTTAATCAGAAATTCTAAATTATTAAATCTACAGAATTAATTCAGGCAGAACATGATAATGCAGTCAATTTATGGGGCATTCAGTGCATATGCTAACTTAAAATCACTTTCTACATTAGAAGACAAATCCGCCAACATTAAAAATTGATTTCTACGCTTACTGTGTTATGATAAAGTCTATTAGAGAATTTAATGTTTAAAATGTCACTTTTTCTAATACCACCAGAAGCTTATTTTAAACATAGAAACAGTAAGTGCTGAAAAGAAAAGGGGAAAGTAAAATAATCACGAAAAATAAAAATGAACAATTTCTTAGATATAGTGACAATAATTAAGTAACAGTTCTGGTCTTTTTCTTGCAAAGAATGGAAACAAATTTGCCAATGGTCAAAGCATTTTTAAAAGTATATATTTTTAACTTTATTACACTTAATAATAAACTATTATGTTTATGATAAGAAGGAATCATTTGGTTCATACAAATATGCAAGTGGTATTTCTAAAACTGACTGCATTACTAGGCAAATTCTTCAAATCAATTCACTGATCTTTTTTACTGAAGGATGCATTGGTTTGAAAATCAAAGACTTACGTCATCCAAAAAATCAATCAGTGAGGATGAGGAAGAAGAAAAGGAATCCTATTTAACGAATTCAGCAATAAAAAAATAGAAAATATGGATGAAGCAATTTAATATGAACAAATAATAAATCAAAAAATTTGTAAAGCAATTGAAAGGCAAATGACATTCGTTCAAATAAACAAATGAGAAAAACAGCCACTGTTACTGATCTTCAGGAACTTAGAGAGTGCTGCTTAAAGAGTGATTCTCCAGTTCCCGAAGGAATGAAAATCTATTGCACCCAAAATGCAATAAAATAGAGCTTATGACAATTGATTAATTAAATTAAATGTACACACTTATGAAAATAACTGAAGTAAGTATCAGAATCTCTGCTTCTATTCTTCCCTCCTGGACTATAAGTCATTTGGGAAGGAATTTTGTCTGTTTGGTCACTACTGTATTCCCAGCACTTACAGCCTTCACCCAGATAATGTGATTTATAACTGCTGAATAAGGTTCATCACTAACAACATCTGACACAGAACATACCTTATAGTATTATACTGATATTTTCTCAACAAAAATTTTAATAATAAGGTATGGAATGACAAAAAGCTGTATCATTACTTCAGAGTAAAAATGAAAAAAATATTTTCTTTTTCAAAAGTTGGAATTTGTTCAGCTCTCACTGTTCAGGGGACTGATAATACTTTTAAGTCTAACAATGACTTTTGACTTTAGGCTTTTCTTGAGTTCTTGTTAAATACAAGTGTGATCATACTTTCCACAAGAATGCAGAACCAACCCCTCCCTTACATGTCTGTACTTGCTTAGATACATGGTTCTAGGTTCTCTTCTGTGGGCTGTAATAGAACAGTTTTACTTCAAGTAAACTTTAGATCACAAAGAGAATTTTAAATTGATCACAGAGGCTATTTAGAAAAGTTTAATACTTACTTCAAATTGATCCAGAGCATCGGTAGGCGCATTCAAAAATGCCAAGAAAGAGTGCTGTGAGTCTTGGTGCGCTATACCTAGAAGACAGCAGCAACTTTCTTTTTAAAGTAGAACAATTAAAACTAATTTTTCTGGATAATCTTTCCTGTCTCAATCTACTAATGCTGTTAAAAAACCACCATCTTTCAAGGCTGATTGTATTAACTCTGTATTTAAAAAAACCCAAAACGTTAGTGTTTCCTAGATTATCACTCAATAGTTATATTAGACCAGTTTTCATGATAGTTCTTTGAGTCATTTGTTAACGAATTTCTTTTTACCACCTAGCACACGATTAAAAAAACATGAAATATTTTGGTAGATTTGAGAAAAATTTAAAACTATGGACTTGCTTATGTCTGACTTTTCTAAGCTAATTTATCACCAAAACAAGGTTTCTATTTCAAAATCTTTAAAAAAAACCAAAAACCAAAAAAAAACCTTCAGCATTTAGAACATATTTATTTTGTAAATAATATAGTAATAAAATAAGTATACTTAATTACAAAAATTCATTTCAGGTAATGACTTATTGAATAAACAATTTGAACATCATTTTTCCTCAGATGAATTTTTAAAAATTAATATATATCCTTGGACCACGACAATAAATTTAAATATATACTTTCCAAACAATTCTCCAAACAGAAATGATGACGAATACTAAGGTGGATAGAGCAGAAATAGCCCATCACACAATTCCGACTTCCATCCATAACCTCTCCTCCCCTGTGCAGCTGCATGCTGACACACGTGCATGTTGAGGTCAGAGGTCAGCTGTCAGGTATCTTCCTCTACTGCTCTCCACCTATTTTTTAATTAAAAATTACTATTTTGATTTTATGCATGAGTGTATCACCTGCATGTAAGTGCACCTGTGTTGTGCAGTGCCTGTGGAGTTCAGAAATGGGTGTCAGATCCCCTGTAACTGGAGTTACAGATGGTTGTTAGTTACCATGTGGGTGCTGGGAATCGAATCTGGGTCCTCTGTAAGAACAGTAAGTTCTCTTAACCACTAAGCTATCTCTCCAACCCCTCCAATAATGTTTTTGAAAACAGGGTCTTTCACTGAATTGGCCAGACTGGTTCCAGTGGGCCCCAGGGATCTTCCTGTCTTTATCTCTCAGTGCAGATTACAGATGCGCAATGCCACCCCGGCTTTGTTCTTATGTGGGTGCTGGAGAATTCAAACTCACAGCAAGCATTAACCCACTGAGCTATCTATCTCCCCATGCCTGATCTGATGTTCCATAGTACCAGATAGGAAATTCAGAAATTCATTTAGTCAACAAATATTTGTTAAGAGCCTATTATGAGACCAGAGGGTAAAGGCTCTTTCTGCCAAGCTTGACAACATGAATTCAATCCCTAGGACCCACATGGTAGAAGTAGAGAATTGACTCCAGGAAGTTATCCTTTGACCTCCCATGCATGTTATCTCATGTTCTCTATCTCTCTTTCACATATACAAATAAAATAATTGTTTTAAAAACAGCCTATTATATAGCAGACATTATCCTAGAAATTGGGGATATAATCGTAAACAGAAGACAGGAGAGGTCTTTGTTCTTGTTTTGTAAATATGATATTATTTAAGTAGCACAGCACATTATATTGTAGCAGACAATGAAATTTTATTTTGAAGTATTTAAAATCTAAATTAAAAACCCTTTAACATGCTTTCATAAAACAATGTGGTAAACTTATCTTTTATTTTTAAGTTTAGATCAAATCTAAAAACAATGCAATCAATTTGAGTGTACATTATATTTGGCGCTGGTGTCATTCCTGTTGAACTGCCTTTAGGCCACAAGCCATCCACACATTATGGATTCTTTTTCTTCCTAAATAATGTATCTCTCTTCCACCCTTCATGAATTAAAATAAAGAATGATCATTTTAGCATAAAGGTTTATGTTCTTAATATGAATTTCTATTCACTTTTGGCAACTTTTTTTGTTCATTAAGAATTTCAATAAAAATGTACTGAACATCAAGTACTTTAGTATGAATAGTCTATATTCTCCAGTTTTTAAATTTATTTTTATGTATGTGACTGTTTTGCCTGCACATCCGTAAGTGTGCCCATGTGATCGATGGCCATGGAAGCCAAAAGAGGATGTCAGATCCCCTGGAATTGGAGTTACAGACAGTTGTGAGTCACCCTGTGGGTTCTGGAAACCAAATCCAGGTTCTCTGCAAGAGCAGCCAGTGCTCTTAACCACTGAGTCATCTCCCCAGTCCCTGTTCTCCACAGTTTTATGAACAGATGCAGAGACCCAACTAGTTTTATCCTGCTCCGTGTTCTGGGACTAGGAAATGATAGACACCCTTAGCCAAACACAAAGTCTGTTAATTAGTTCCGTGATTGGTGGTAGCCTTTGTCAGGAAAATAAATTTTGAATAACTGTATATAAAACATCTCTTTATTAAAATAAATAACCTTCTGGATTTATTTGTATTAAATCTCTACTTTCTCAATGTCCATACTATGGGAAAAATGTTTAAGAACTTCCTATCACAGAGCTATGAGGCACTCTTAGTTCCATGTGAACAGAAAAATGAACAGTAAAGTTCTCAAGGAAATAGTAATAAATCCTGGGAAATCTCACAGAGCAAGCAATGTAAGCCTCAAATTGGAAGAAGATAATAAAATGTCCAAATAATTCTTCGTTATTGAATTATCCCACTAAAACTGAATTGGAGTCATCTTTAGTTATTTTACATATTGTTTTCTTAACTATCCTAGAAGAATCTCCCACAAGGTTTTCACATTGTAGGCACATAAAAAGTGTTAAGAAATATAATTCCACAGAAATTGGGAAGAGGCAGCAAGAGGATTTTGAATTCAAAGACACCATGGGCTACTCAGCAAGATCCTGTCTCAAAAAACAGCAACCTCCCCCTTGCTCAAATATTCTTACTAAGTTCTGAATATTCCACTGTTGAAGTGAATACCTTACATGATGACATTTGAGAATATTATAAAATACATTACAAAATAATCCTTTCTCAATCACAAAACTTACTCTTGAAATAGTTCACGACACTGAAAGAACAGTCAGACTTACGGCGAAGTGATTTCTTCTGTAACTATAAACTTTAAAAATAATGTATATTAAGTAAAACAATGACTCAGCCAATCTGGCAAGTGTGATGTGTGCATGCATGTGTGCCATATTCCTATGTAACTGCTTGATTGCTAATGTGAAGAGTTTCCCATCTACACTCTAAGCTGACTCTTAAGTAATAAAATACATTCATAACAGCAAGTCCTGATTGATGCGAACACATATTCTCATACCCTTTTCAGATCTAAGCTCTTCAGTGTCCTTTATCAGTTGCTCAATTTCTGATAGTAGATCCAAGTTCTTCTTCTCAGAATCTTTTAGTTTACTTAAAGGGAAAAGGAAACAGTCATTAATTTTGTGTAGCTGGGCTTATTTGGTTTAAAAGTCTGTCAGGGTAAATTAGAGGACTGCAAACAACTACATGCAGGACAAGTATAGCCTGCCACTTGCTGTTATAAGCACAGTCGGGCTCCTTCATGCTGGTAAGATAGCCAGGGCTGGGGATGCAGCTCAGTAGTAGAGGACTTGCCTCAAACGGATAAAGCACTGAAAAAAATAAAAATAAGAAGGACAGCTGCTGGCGCTGCACAGCAACAACAGAGCTGAGAGGGGAAGGAGGCTGCATGGGCCTCAAAGCTTGCCTAAAATATTTACCATTTGACACTTTATAGAAAAAGTCTGCTGACCCTTAGCTAAATTATTAATTAAAGTATTATAAAATCAAAGATCAATTTTAGACTTGTTAGACTTTGGGCTCATATATCACCATGAAACTAGAGTACATACATAAGTTTATAATGTTTGGTTGCTAGCTCTGCTTTATGAGCAAATGTGTGAACTCCAATGCCCTGGGTAATCGAAGAAAAGATTCTATTTATTTCAAATTGTAATACTAAGAATGACATTCAGTAGTTCTTTATACAAGGTTTAGTTCATATTCTTCAGAAAACTTTTTCGATGCCACACAAACACATTTAAGTAAAAATTTGTGTTTGCATCATTTATAACAAGTGCAAGGGTGCCATGTTATTTGTTCTTGGATAAGACATTAAAGACTACAGTTTAAGTCCTAAGGCTTCACACCACTGAAAACTAAATTTATAGCCACGTAGTTCCTCTAATCATTTTGGAACTTTGATGTTTTGAGTCAGATGGATTTTTATATTTATAGTTTCATTTTTAACGTGAATTTGCTCTTATTCCTCTATCATACTGACTTATTTTTTTTAAATTCATTAATTTTTTCATGTGTATTTATGTGTGCCTTTGTGAGTTTATGTGCATCACATATGTGCAGGTATCTACAAAGGTCAGAGTCACTGGATCCCCTGGAACTAGAGTGATGGATGTGAAGTGCCATGTGGGTGCTGGGAACGGAATCCAAGTCCTCTGCAAGAGCAAAATATGGTCTTAACAGCTGAGCCATCTTTCCAGCCCAGAGATTTATTTTCAAATCATGCTTATATCCAATCCAATTATAATTTTTCATTTTATCGTTTATATATTTAGGATATAATTTGATCTACCATTGTGACAAGAATCAAGGGAATGTGTTTAATAGCCAACTGCCTCAGACACTGGGAGCTTCTTTATTTTAAAAGAAAGAAAAATGAAAAATAATTATGATTATTTTGTCGTTATAAAATGTACTATCACAAGAACAATAATCTGTAAAAGATCAATAGTAAAGGCCACAATTTTCAGATGTTTGTATTTTGTTCGGACTGTATGTTGCATTCTATACATATATGAGAGAATTTTAGATTTAATATAATGAAATTTGAGCCAATTAAAACTTTACAAATATGGAGAAAAATAAAGAATAGACTATTATCTAATGCTATTAATTCCACCTTATGGACAAAGCTGAAGAAAACAAGGCTGTATGAGAATTTCACTAGTCCTTAGGTCTATTCCTTTTCAAATCTCCCTAACTTTCTCTGGTCATCACTTTGTATTTGTGTAATGTTTTTGACTCGTGTACATGCATGTACATCCTTCATCTTGGTTTTGGAGACAAGGTCTTCCACTGAACCTGGAGCTCACTGATTTGGCTAGACTATCTGGCCAGCAAACTTCTGAGATCCTCCTCTAGCTTTTTTTTAAAAAAATGTGGATTCTGAGGATGAGACTCAGGTCCTCATGCTTGTAAGGAAGCGTTTTACTGATTAAGCCATCTCCCCAGTCTTATCCATCTTATTATTATTTTTTTCAAATGGCAGTGCTTGAGATCAAACCCAGGGCTTTGAGCATGCCAAGCAAGCACTATACTACTAAACTGTATCCCCAGTCCTTGGGTCATCACTTTTCTGTTAAACAGCAAATAAGCAACTAAATATGTAACTTCTTTCCAAATTACTTTCAACAAACTATGAGCCTGTTTTAATAGGACTAAATTACTGAGTCTTACCATTCTGTGATGATACTAGAAGCTTTAACTTTATTCAGCTCTTCCTGAATGGCCTGTTTGGCTCTTATTTCTGCATCCAGAGCTGACTGCAACTCTAGCCTAGCTGACATATCCAGTTTTGCAAAACGACGCATTTTCCAGGGCATATCCTATAAAATAAGATTATTATTTTATTATTATGATTCCTTCCTATCTTAACATTTAAATATTCACAATACAAGTGAATTTAGAAGCTACATAATAAACAGTATTGTTAATAGCAGAGTAGAACTGACATATGTTTGAAAATATACTTTTCATTAATTTTAGAAATAACTGTAAATACATATAAATGATAAGTGGGGTTTTTTTTCAGTTCATTCTATAATGGCTAGCTATACAATTATAGCCAACTGTCATATGATATGTTTTCCTAAACTAGAAAAGACTTGAACTAACTTATTTCTCATGAAAACTTTTATGGCAAGTGAAAGTCTTTAGAGAAAGGTGTAATCAGATTTATTATAGTGCTTTCTGCCTTCTTCCTAAAACAATAAACCTTTATACAAAAGGGTAGAGCTTACTGTGGCTCGTGTCCCCAAGCTGGAATTTCTTAATGCCTCCAATTCTTCCGTCATTTTAGAAGCTAAGGCCTGAAGATACCCTCGTGCATCCTTTTCATCACTCACCCTAAATACATATAAAGACAGACATGAAGCATAAAGTAAATCATACATAAAACTGCAATGATATATGCAATTTTAAAGCTTCATAAAGAAATGTCAGAAACTTAAAGATGTACTTTATTCCTTTTAAAAGGTCAACCACACTACTAGTACCTGTCAGCAGAGGGGAATGGATTTATTGAACCATTCAATTATATATAAATGAAGGCGGCAATGTTTAGAAAATCCCAAGTTCCTTGAATCTGATAAATTAGTGCATCTTCCTTGAATCCCAGAAGTAAAATTCCATTGGGAATTGGGCAACATTGGGTAAATATGTGAAGCTTTCTGAAGAATACTTTCTCATACGCAATCTGACCATTTATCTCATGAAAACACAAAACTCTTTTTATTGTTTAAAAGATTTATTTTTATTTTATGTGTATGAATGTTTTGTCTGCATGTGTGTATGTGTGCCATGTGTGTGCTGATGCCTGTAGAGGCCAGAAGAGGGTGCCAGATCCCCTGGAATTGGAGTCACAGACCTTTGTGAGCTGCCATGTGGATGCTCGGAACCAAACCCAGATCCTCTGCAAGAGCAGTCAGTGCTCTTAACTGCTGAGCCATCTTTTTAGCCCCACAACTCTTTTAAAAACTGAAGTACACTAAATTTAGGAAGTTTAAAGTAGAAATCACTGCAGAAATTGGGGTTATAGTATAACAAAGCACCTCTGTTTTCTAAAATGATTAATGAAACAATCATCAAAGAAAAAGGATTAATGTTTAATGTAGCCCAGTTTCTACTTACTATCTTAAGGCTATAGGACTGATGAAACCATTATGATTGTGGATAGAAAATACATTAAATTATATATTTTTAAAAAGGTGGAGAACAACCAAGGAAAATACCCAATGTGGACCTCCAGCCTCTACCCACATAAGCATGTACACATGTACCACATATACACTTTCTGAAAAACAAATTTCCTGTTGTTGAAATTTCTAGTGGTTTCAACAAGTTTAAAAAAAAAACACCTTATTTTTAAAATTTCATCACAATCCAATATATCAAAATGATTTGAGACATCGTTTAAAGCTATTGTATTTGTAGGTTTCTTTACAGTACTTAATATTTGACATTTTAAGATGGCAGTTATTTTATTTCTGGGTTTAGAAGATGTCATTCCTTTTCCTTCTGGATTCCCAGGAGGATCAAGAGTTTGAGGTCAGTCATAAGTTACAATGGTGAGACCTAATTCAAAACAATGTAAATAAATTAGTGAATGAATGAGTGAAAAGAACTTCCTTCCTTTACCAGGTTCACATCCCATTCCAGCTGAGCTATTATGCCAGTCACTGTGGGAGAGTGGTGGTCTAGGCTCACAGGCTCTGAACACACCATCTTTTAATTTTCAGCTTTATCTTTTGATATTATTCAGCTTCAGGCTAGATTTGGCTAAATGTTAAAAATGATTTCTTTTTAGAAACGCAAACCTGATATGGATGTAAATGAAATATTAATGAACCAACAATCATGCTTTTTGGAACATGAATAAGTTTCCACAATCTGGGCACTTTCCGTTATATGTAATGAATAGGTACATCCATAAGCCAAAGATCAGTTAACAGAAGAGCTCACAGTTAAGCCAATATCAAAGGATCTGGGTTATTTGAGTAAAGTTACTTAAAATGTATTTTATTCACTTTTGATTTATTTAAGAATGGGGTTAGAAATCTGACTGGGAAAAATAGAAAACTGACTGAACCAAAATATGAGAACAGGAAAATAAAATTCCCAACAATTAGTCTATAGATAAAGAAGCTAGCTGCTATGACATAAAGGTTAAAGTGGGTAAGAGTTCAATAAAGGGGCTGGAGAGATGGCTCAGGGTTAGAAGCACTGACTGCTCTTGCAGAGGATCTGGGTTCAATTCCCATCACCCACATGGTGGCTACA